CTCCATCAATTACTCTTGTAGTGAGTTTAGTCTTAAAACCCAAAGACAAACTACTATTAACTTGAGAGTTTATTCTTTCATGTTGACCTTTATTTACAAACAATTGCTTTGTGTCAACATTGTCCATCTCTTACTCCCTTCCCTTCTTGTTTAAATCCGCATTCCCTATGCTCGAGTTCCCACTTGAATCTAAATCACTATCATCAGAGAAACTTTCCCAACCTTTCACAACCTCCTCACATTCCCTACCCTTTGGCCGATGCCTATTGGGGTTGATTTAGACTTAGTTTCAATGCTTTTCTCACATTGGAAGAAGATGGACCAATAGTTCTATCTATTAGAGGCCTAGTAGTTTCCTTGATCACGTGATTCTTTCAATAATCACATGACCTCTCAATGATATTTAAATATTTGGTTATTCTAGGCCCAACTTCTACAAGCCTATTCATTTTACATGTTTCTCATTAAGACAAACCAACTGTTGTTGCTCTCTACTTACACTCACCCTAGGCCCAAATGTTGTTGACCAACTGGTGCACCTAACAATGTAGGCCCAACCATTGGTTCATCTCCTTCGGGCCCATGCGATACTCCTTTACCCACAACCACTTCACCCCTTTGAGTTCTACCCTTTGATTCACCCGAAGTAAACGCAACGGGTTTATCTAAATACTTTTCCTTGCCTTTACTTAACTTGTCCCCCACATTACCACCTACCTCTAAAAATTATTGGTTGATAAGTCACCACTTGGGCAAAAGATTTCACCACATTTTCTCAAGACCCAGTTTTGAAAAGTTTCCATTTGAGTGGAAAAAACTTAGGGTCCATTGATTCACAGTCGAAATTGGAATCGGAATCAGAATGATTCATTCCCATACTTTGTTTGGTTAGGACAGGAATGAGAATGAGAATTAAAATCAGCAGGAATGGGATTCCATTTCCAAAGAAGGGGTAGGGAATGGCCATTCCCTCAAATGGGGGAATAGCATTCCAGCAGGAATGGGAATGTGACTCCCATTTTGCCCAACCAAACAATTGGATATTCCGATTCTAATTTCAGACCCCTATTCCTATAAACCAAACGGACCCTTAGTGTCTTATGGTCTTCGTGATTTTCCTTATTCCTTGCTAGTGCAACAACTTAAATAATTTAAACTCCCTACTCCTAAGCTGCCATGTAGAATACACCTTTCCATGTTCATCATCTTCTTCTCTTTGCCCCTCTCTCCAAAGCATAGCATTGACTGAGGAAATGAGCCAAGCACAATAAGCTATGCCTCCTGGAATACCTATATATCTAGCTTCCATCACCTTGGCAGTTGCTAAGTATAGGTCTCTTAGGGGGGTCAAGAGAATGAAAGATGAAGAAGAATGGAGAATGGAGAGTAGGTGGAAATTTAAAGTGCACGTATGTATTTTACAACTAAAATCCAACCAGAAAGTTTGGTTTAAAGTTTCTGTTAAGGTTAAAGTTAAAAAAATGAATCCTATTAAATTTTGGGCTAGGTTAAAATTGAGACATTGTTCAATCTGACCTTATAATATATAAGTAAATAAGTCATTCTAATATATAAGTAAACAAATTGGATTGACATAAGAAAAAATAATGGATTTTGTTAAAGTTAGAATTAGGATTTCAAAATATCAAATTAGGTCATGATTGAGATAAATCAGTACTAGTGTGACTCAGCCTACCCAATAACATTTTCTCTAAAATGCTTTGGGGGGCCAAACATTAGCCCAACCTGATTATTGGTATATGGGATGGACTACCCTTAGTTAAAGATATAGGGTGGGGAAAAGTTTGGGGGGCCAAGGACCCCCCACCCAATAACTTGGTTCTGCCCCTGCACATAGGAACGCTATCAACCTCATGTTACCCTTTGACTAGAGATTAAAAGACAACCCCGATATTCTAATCATCATGCCTTCATCTTCTATGATCAATATTTCATTAACCAAAGGACCACCACTTTTAGACTAAGAATTTTCCTTCTTTGGTCTATAAGTTTAGTACATGAATCTCCATTATGTCCTCGTATAGACCCAACATACTCTCTCTTTCCCAAATAGGGTTAGCATGAATTTCTCTTTCAATTTTAAGGTTTTCCTTGGTGTCTCCCTTAATTTTTTTTTCCAATCTCTTACCACTTTCTTAGCCAAAACTACCAAACGATGTTCCCATTCACCTTTACTCTGAATGATAGATAATCTTGACATCCTTATGTATCCAACCATCATCAATTGTTCCTTTCCTTCCTTTGCTTTTTTACCCTTTACCATATCCTCTTTAGACATTCCAATTGATAAAGCTAACTATTGAATTAATCCATTCACTTTCTTAGTTTTTGTCTTTATAAGCAAGAAATTTTGAAGCAAATGAAACATTTCCTTCCACCCTTTTATTTGTCTTCCTTCAGGAATAAAAATTAGTTGCTTTGACCCCTATCCAAGAAAACTCAATCAAAGCTATATACCAACCTTTAATGCTCCTTTTTACTTTTGTGCAAAGCTTCTTGTCCCCTACTTCTAGTGTTTTCCTTCAATTCTAGTTTCTTTTTATGTACATTGCACCATCCACGAACTCTTTAAACCATGCTAGTGCTCCTATCAACAAAATTGTTACCATTCTTAGCTCCTTAATATTTAGAATAGCACTTCCTCTCACCATCATTTCCTCAATAATGAAGGTCTTAGCTTCAACTCTAAAATTTCTTCTCCAAGCAACTACATAAACAAAGTTTTCCTCCATTCCAACCTTATTAGTGTCTTTTAGCTCTCCTAGTAGGATTGTGAGAAGAATTTTTTGCCTATTTGACTTTTTTTTATTACACATTACAAGGTGATCAAAGGATGGGATACAATAGGGTGCACATGAGGTTCCCCTTAACCATTTTTATTATGTAGGTTACTTCTTATAAAGTATATAAGATATATTTATCAGATATTAGGAGTGGAGACCTATGCTAAATATAATCGGTTTTAGGTATTTGGTATTCTAAGGCCAAAACCAATAGGGGTGAGCATGGGTTGGTTTGGTTCAATTCCATGGCAAAACCTGGAACCTACCCTATAGGGGTTGGTTCTAGGTTTTTGGAATCAGAATCTATCATATGAAGGTCGGTTCTAAGGTCAACTTTGGCCTTAGCGGTTCTGGGGTCGGTTTCATGGTCTATCCGTGGAACTTGTTCTTTCTTTACTCCCCCCTCCCCCTTCAAAATAATAAAAAAAAGCATATTCTTTAAAATTTGATTTTCAATAAATATAATATATAATTTAAAACTTATATTATTTTTATTGATTAAATTGAGTAACTTAATATGCAAATTATCATTATATGGTTCAAAACTTATAATTTAAATTTAAATTTTGTAAGCATTACTCTTTATATTATTTATTGTGCACATTCAAATATTAAAATGAAAACAAATGATCAAATAACTTTAGTAATTCAATGGTCAAGTGAAACCATGGCCTTTGTAACAATGAGTGCTTGGGTTCAAATCTTCACATTCCCAAAAGTATTTTGGGGTTTATTTCATGGCAATTAAGTTCGGTTCCAAGGCAAGTTCCACCAAGGCCAACCATGGTTGGTTTGGTTAGGGTAAACCCCTAGAGCCTTGAACTTGCTTGGGTGGGGGCCGATTCCAAGAATTTAGAACCAATCCCTACCTTGTAATAGATTGGATAGGGTTAGTTCAAGGTCAATTCCATTCGGTTCTAGGTAGAACCTACCCATTTTCTCCCCCTACAAGTTAGGTACTTGAAAATTCCTTTGAAATTGCCATCCCTGACACTCCACTTTTTGGGTAAATCACAAAGACCCCCATACTACAGGGTTAGTGACAATTACCCCCCTAAACTTTATTTTACAACAAAGACCCCCTTGAACTTTCACTTTGCGACAAATACCCCTATCGTTAAGTCAAATGAAGAATGTATTAAATTACCAAAATACTCACATGAACTTTCCTTATTTTATTTTCCTCACCCTTTTCTCTTAAACCCTAACTGATCCAAAAACACCTATATTTTCTCCAAACAAAACTAGTTAAAATAACAAAAATCATTTTCACAGACATAGAAAAACAAGTTTTTTTTTTTTTTTTAATTCTTGTTCCATTTCACCAACATGAATGTTTATCATCATCTTAAAATATAAACAATTATCCATTTCTTTCTCTAATAAACCAAGAAAAACCAACAAATCCTTAAATTTATATTTATAAAAAAAAAATCATTTGAATATTGAATCTAGTCAGAAATATGCAAAGATCTATCAAAGCAACTGAGAAGTCTTTAATATTATATTTTAAAAACTAATTGATGATGGTGGAATTTATTGGCTCCCTGCTGTTAGTGACAACTCAGAGATCGACAGATGTAGTTGAGTGTTGAATCTGCAAGACAAAAGATGTCAGAGGACCGGGGGATTTTCCAGGCAAAGAACTCGGACGGTCATGTAAATATCGAGCTCTCAAAGGTGATAGAAACAGAGTAGGAATCAAAGCAAAAGAGTATGTGTCTATAAGTGAGCGTACCTTCTAACAGTGAAGGCTCATCCTTATATAGACCTCAAGACTCGGCTGAGACGTGTCTAACATGTTTGATCTGTTGATGTGATTTTAAATGAGGTCGGAGTTTGTTCAAACTTCATTAGTCGACCTACCATGGTAGAATATAACTGGCGTGGAAGATCAACCCTCATCACTAATCAAATCATAAATCATACAAATAAATAAAAAAGGGTAGTTTGGGGATTTAAAAAATTAAAAGCTGAAAGTAAATCTTTTTTGAAATTAATTGACTAAACTTTAATAGAGGGGATATTTATCGCAAAGTGAAAGTTCAGGGGGTATTTAACGCAAAGTTAAAGTTTAGGGGATCTTTCTGGCAAATGAAAGTTAAGGGGTAATTATAAGCAATTGACACATGATACGATACATATCAGCCGATACGTATCGTATCGGAGCCTTCTCAATATGCCCCTCTAGGGGGTGTTTGGGGTAGACCGGCCTCAAACCGGCCCCTCTGCTTGTTGACGCATTGCAGATGCGCGCTGAACGGACCATACCTGCATACCACAGAGAGGAAAAGTAACTGTTAATGGCTTCGTTTAGGTGGATTCTTCAACTGCACAAAGACGTTCCGCGAGCCGCTCGTTTCTACTCAGAAGGGTTGGATTTCAGCATCAACGTCTGCACGCTTCGATGGGCTGAACTTCAATCTGGTCCTCTGAAACTCGCACTCATGCAATCCACTGGGTTCGTCCTCCCTCTCTATTGCATTCTGCCCGCTTTCTCACATTAGTATCCCTTATAGCTTAAAACTGTCTCATTTTCTTAATAATTTAATAGCTACCATTCATTTCGGGGTAGATGCAGTGTAACAGTAACACTAAGCGAAATCCTGTATTTAGTTTCAATGCTTTGTGATTTTTGTGTTTTGTTTGCCCTCAAGTAGAGCAGAAGAAGAGGGGACACAGGAGAATGTCTCTTCCTGAATTTGAAATTTAAAGACGTCTGTAGAAAACTAATATCAATTCTAAAATAATTAGAAAGGAAGATGCTTTATTCGTAAGATACTGCTATTTTGAGAAAAAGCTGATACATGGTGCACAGTAATTGGTAACAGACTAACAGTGACAACAATTATCAAGTTAAAGATTTTTTTTCTTATGATAACTGTAGTTGGTTATTGTCAGATTATTCTGTTTTAACAAGGTTGGAATGAATAAGTTTAGATAAGTTGATTCCCGTTTATTACATTGGCTAAAATTAGTTATCTTGTATGATAATATAGATTAGTAATTATCAAAAAAATAAATTAGTTATCTTGTATGTTCATGCTTCTTTCTCTAGGAAAAATGGCAAATTGAGATGGGGTAGTTGTAACTTCTTCTCCCTTGCACCAATGGCATGTTAGTCATTTTGACTTCATATGTCTTTCCGTCAATCTCTAGTGGCACTTCAGACACTCTTCTGATGGCTAAGGAAGAACTAGGATTTTTCTTAAGCTGATGTAGATTTTACACGATCCTTGATCTGGTATCCATGCCTTACTCTAAAAGGTTTTTAGCCTTGAAATACCTGCAGTCTTTTTTTTTTTTTTTCTTTTACCAGTGGAAGAAAACTCATTTTTCAGCTCAGGAAGCACCGCAAAAGGAAGTGGAGAGGAACTATATAATTCTGATGTCTCATAAGACATGATGCAATGGGATGTTGTAATAAGTTTTAGAGGTTGGAGATGTGTCCTGGTTTTGTTACCTGTGGACAATAGCATTTAAAGGAGGTATACTTAGAGAGATGATGAAGGAATGCAGATATTCTCTAGTGTGTTGGATGTATAAACTCTATAAAAGCAGAGTATTAAACTCTATAAAAGCAGAGTATTGAGCTGCTTTTGTAGGACTAGAGTTTACCAAGAGCCTCTGGGTGATGCACATGGTTGAAGTTGATTCTTAACTATGCTACTTGAGAATAAGCAAGATATGGAACATTAAGATCTCTTCACACATTGTCATAAATGTGAGTTGCAGATAGTTTTATAGTTGATTTTGTCTTATTTTTCATTCTTTCCCCCTCATAAAAAGAGGAAAAGTGATGTGGAGGTGTACAAGAGCTACTATAATTTGGGGGAAGAAAGAAATGACAGAATCTTAAACAACAAGGAAAAACACTGGAAGTAGCACATTGGGTGAAAACAAGGCCTGATTTTGATGTTTTTACCACTGATGATGATATGGTATTATAGGAATTGGTCCAACATGCTTTCTTCTTCTACCTGCAGGTTGATAGTCCCTATTGGATTTGTATCCTCTCCTTCATGACTCTTTTAAGCTGAGCTTTGATGGCTTCTGCTTAGGAAATCCATCCAAATAAGGTATGGGTGAGTGATCTGTAATCATGAAGGGACCATTTGATGGTGTAATTGTACTCAATCAAGCCCAACAGAATAGCACTCTTGGTGTAATCATGTAGTGATGTAAAGGAATACTTATTCACAAAATATACTCTACTCCATTACATCTTAAGCTATTATTCTGATTGACAAGTCTTCAGATCTTTTAACAGTGAAAAAGCAACTTTGAAGCCAATACCTGCCAAAATTTATTGTCTTAGAACTAATAAAACTCTAGTTTTTTGTAAGTAACTGCACAAAAGTGTGTTGTGATTAGAGCTGATAAAAGTTCAATTGTCTCATCGTCATCTAATCTTTATCCCAACTATATGGGCTCGGTTACATGAATCCTGTTTCACCATCCCATTCTGTTTAATTCCATACCACTGTTAAATTATGAGTACTTAAATTCTTATTTCTTCAACCCAAGTCCTTTTTTATAAAAGTACAGTCATCTAGTTTTCCAAAATGTAGGGAACTAGATCTAACCCTTTCAAAGAAATGATAACTGCAATACTGATGCACAACAACATCAAAGACAGAATAACAGCAACCTAGTCATCCATCAAAGATGTTTTGTTCAGACATGGATGCACCCAATATAAAACAATTTGCCCCACTTCTCTAGGTATGCTATCTGCTTGAGAATTTGCTGAATTCCGCATACTTCTGAACAAGGTGTTTCATTCTAGATACCAGATTCCTAAGCTCTCTAACATAATGCCTGAAGTTCAATGTACTTCACTTCCATCTTGAAACCAGACAGTAACTTTCTGTAAAAGTGTAAATCCCCTGTCCCCTTCAATGTCTGCCAATTGAAATCCACTGTTTGCTATCAGTCTCAAGGTTTTTTATGAGGTCTTAATATTAACTCAAACAGGAACTTCAGAATCAGTTGGGATCAAGAAAACCAGAATATCCTCTTGCAGAATTCTAATGGATTCTGACTATTCCTGATGGGTTTGGGTTACCTAAGGTGCAGTAATCAAAATTGAGTTTCAGCAACCCTTAGGAGTGTGGGGTAGGGAGGATCCAAGACTTATTTAAACTCTGTGTAGAGTTGGATAAAACAGAAAATTTGTATTATCCGCTGATATAGAGTGTGGGGTAGGTAGCTGCCAAGGTAACCCAGGGCCATCTGGAATAGGAGGGATTCTGAGAGACAAAAGTAGCAACATGTTGTCTTTATTTTCAGGACCAGTGGGTGTTGGTGATTCTGTAAGGGCAGAGATATTAGCAGCGGTACAAGGTATACAGATGGCCAGTCAACTTGGAGTGAATAATTTGATAGTAGAAGGGGATTCCAAGGTAGTAGTGGGCTGGTTGACAAGTCCAGAGACAGCTTGTTGGGGCTACAGGGATCTGTTAAAGAAAGTTAAATGGCTGACAAGGAATATGTCAGTCAGGTTTTAGTGGGTCAGCAGATCAGCAAATGCAATGGCTGATTCTTTGGCCAGGCAAGGGGTGTCAAGGGGAGATCTGTTTTGGGCCACTTTGTAACTGTGTTTCAGGCTTGTGTTTGTTTAGTGTTTATGACTCAGTCCTAGGGAGAGGTAACACCTCGTGCCTCTTCTTAGGCTGAACGTACTACTATTTTTTGAATTAATAAAACTACTCTCATTTATCAAAAAAAAAAAATTATCAATTGAGAAGTATATGAATCCATCACTTGTTATCAGCCAGTGAGTGACTTGTTTGGTAATGATGTCTATTATTACTTCTATCAATCTGGTTATGTTGAGAAGATTCTCTCATTCCTTTCTTCCTCTATGATCTATGGTGTTTCTACCCAAGCACATCTCTACATAAATTTACCTTTTCTTCCTTTGCAGAGAAAACTGATAATAAGAGCATGGGATGTCTTTCTGAGCTGTATTGAAAAGTGTAAAAAAGGTTTCCACATCTCTCTAACATAATCACATCAGAAAAAGAGGTGGTAGGTTTCATCATCATTGAATTTGCAAACAACACATACATGGGGATACAGTCCAACTTTTCCTTTTCCATTGAAGCATTTCACAAGTGTTGACATTTTGATGCATGGCCTTTTTCTTTAAAGAAATAGCAACTATGTTATTATAATGATGAATTCTGGTGCATTACTTCCCTACATATTTCTTACTTTAAGAGGTGTAGGACCTAAACAAATTGCCTTAACCAGGAAGGATTCAGTGAGAGGAACAGGCTGAAATAGAGGCCTAAAAAGGATGAACAAGAGAAAACTCCTCCAGGTTGATTGACCAAATACTTTTTTTAAGACTCGATGGGATCAAATAAGACATCTTGGAGAAACTTCAAAACGGCAGATGTTTCTAGTGGTTCACTATCCTGTAAGCAATAATCCCCTTCTCAAACCAGTATTAAAACGTAAACTTTTGGAAGAAAAAACAAACAATATTAGCAATAGGAAAGATCTTTTTTACATTAGGCAGGTTCGAAATTCAAATAACTTAGAAATTGACAACCTCACATATTTCATGTCTGTTCATAAATTGGATATAAACTTATATTCTGTAGTGTGGAACATCTTTTTTATATTCTGCTGCTTTTCAAATTTTGCTTGGGAGTTATAACCCAGATGAACTTAAGGATATTTTAAATTGATCAGAGCTAGGTAGGAGTGAAAAAGCCAAAATAATTTTGAGCATTATCCCATTTTCTGTGTGCCAGAGCAGTTGGAGAGACAGAGAGAGAAACAAGCACATCTTTGTGGAGAAGTATAAAATAAGAAGACATCTGATGGCAGAAATTTGCTCCTTGGTGGCTGATTGACCTCTTAATCTGTCTGATTTCAAAGATTTCAGTAGGAAAGATCTTGCAGATGATTTGGCAGTTAATGGAAGATTTAGAAAGAAATCCATCTGTTTAGTTTTTTTTTTTTTATCTAAGAAATGCATTCTATTCTTTTGTCTTTATTGGTTTTGCTTGTTTTATGATGTTTTTGTTGTGAGTGAGGGCTCTTCACCTTGTACTTGTAATCTTTGTTTTCCTTTTTATTGAAAACATTTTTCTTATTATCAAAATAATAATTTGGATGTAAATTGCTTGGTTACTGTATGAATGATGTAATCTTTGGCTTGTTGGGTATTGGATAGCATTCTTAATAACACCCAAGTCTAGATTAATTAATTGGATTTGACATCTCAAAATTTATAAAATAAGTAGAGTGACAGACTTGAAACAGTTTATGGATTTGGGTTGAGGAGCAAGTAATTGCATATTATGATGATGGAGTGTGCCTCATAACCAGTTGCTAGTCACTAATAATCAAGTTAAGCAGAGGACGTGCTTGACAGAGGATGTGTAGCCTATTCCTTCACATCTCAATCTTTTATTTTCTGGTGAAATATTTGAGCTTTGAATT